ATTAGGTCTCGAATCTATTTATTTTTTAAAAAAAAAAAAGGAAAGAAAAGAACTTTTGAGAACAAGTGACCAAAAATTCAATGTTGAAACAAATGACTCCATATTCAAACGCTGACACCATAAAGAAAAAATAAAATTGAAAATGTGTTCTCATAAATGCTGATAGAAAATTCAATATTTGAAGGAGGGACTGACCTTAGATTCATCATCAAGGGGGGAAATGAATCGTTTACTTGAAAACTCTGTAAGAACGATTGGAAACAAGGCAAAAAGAGTCAGCCCATCAGAACGATCACAAAAAGGAGGTGCAGCGGGAGCAATTACGGAACACATTATAATGATGCTAGAATAATCATTAGAAGTAAGAGAGGGCCTCCACAATGGTCTCTAGAAAGAGACATTTATAATAGTCATACTTTGCTTCATATTAAACATATGAAAACAAGAAATTCATGACGAACAGGCAGCTTAAGGCCTCTCACCTATAGGCAAAGCTACTGAATTCTATCAAAATTGTCGAGACGATAATATCATACAGAACAAGAAGAAGAGAAGATCTTGTCAAGAATGCAGAAAATTGCCAGAAGAATGCTAAGACAATATGGCATCACTGAATGATCACCAAAAAGACACCCTATATGATCACCAGAAAGAGACAAAAATATTGCACTCGTCAACAGAAAGAAAAAAAATTCGGTGGACAGATGGCATATGACCACTCACAAGTGAGGACACCATGTAGGAAAAAAAGAAAGAAAACTACACCCTCATACCTAGTGTAATGCCACAAGTGGAGTCTGCGAAGGAAAAGAGAGAAAATAACGCTTACTGAAATTTGTTATTAGCAATTTAAAATAGGACTAATACCCTTCCGGTGGCCCAGTGGTTTGAGCATGGGACTTACATGTTGGATGTCTCAAGTTTGAAACCCCTTGCAAGGGAAAGCAAGGGGTTTGCCTTCTAGGTCGAGTTCGTCGCACCAGGCTTGCCTGGTGCGGGTTACCTCTCCTATGTAGTTTGCAAGCTATTGCATAGGAGCAGGGTTTTACCCTGTGCGCACTCAAAAGGGTAGCGGCTACGGGTTTCCCTTGTCGTCAAAAAAAAATAGGACTCATCATGTGGAAGGTTTAAGCTACATGAAGTACGGGAATTTTTAATTTTTTTTTTTTTGAAATTGGTAAATTGGGAGATATGGGAAAGAGTCACTTCGATTAATTTTGTTTTAGACTCTTTGCCAACATATGTGAAGTCACTTATTCCCATTCCCGCCAAGGTAGTCAAAGCTATAGACTCATTGAGGAGAAACTTCCTTTGGCAAGGTAACAAGATTGAGAAGAGCAACAACTTAGTAAAATGGATGGCGGTTCAACAGAGCAAAAGATGTAGGGGTTTGGGAGTAAAAAACCTAAAGATACACAACAGCAGCTTACTTACCAAATGGTTGTGGGGATACAATTTGGAAGATCAAGCTCTATGGAAGGAACTCATTCAACACGAGTATGGTCAAGAAGATCAATGGTGCACAGAAACATATGGGAGTATGGAGGACTATAAGAAACCCATGGCTGGCTTTCAGAGACAATGTAAGGATAAAGGTTGGTCGAGGAAATAAGGCTTTGTTTTGGAAGAAAGACTGGACTGGTCAAGGGTCCTTGGAAAATTTATTCCCTGGGTTGTTTTCCATTTGCCTAAATCCTGCAGCAAAATACAAGAGGTTTGGTCCTCACAAGGATGGAATTTTCTCTGTAGCAGATTTATTAATGATTGGGAAATAGAGTGGCTATCGGATATGCTTTGATTGGAGATTTTCCTGGCACAAATCTAGAAACAGATAAACTGCCATGGAGGCATCATATTGATGGTCAATTCTATGTGAACCGAATGTATAAAAGGGATCTAGCCACAATTGAGGGGAAGAAATCAGGGTCATGGAGTGCTATACCGAAGAGTATAGCCCCTACTAAGGTGAAGTGTTACACTTGGTTGGTAACTAGGAGAGTTTGCCTGCACATGATAAACTTCAAAAGAGGGAAAAAATTATTGCCTCAAGATGTTATCTTTGTAAAGGGGCTCTAAAAACCAACAATCATTTGTTTCTCCACCGCAAAGTAACAACACAAGTATGGGCTCTATTCACCAATATAAGGAGCCTAAATTGGATTATGCCAGAACATACAACAGACCTACTATGTTGTTGGGTCAGAAGGGGAGGTAGTAATATACAGAGGAGGTGGTAGTAAACAGTAATTGCTGCTTGTATCTGGTGGATCATTTGGAAGAAATCAGAGGATTTTTGTACAAAGAATGCACTATAGAGAAGATAAAGTGGAAAGTAATTACCACTTTCGGTTTTTGATGTAAAGAAATGAACATAAATGAAGAAATTCAACTAAAGGATTTCTTAGGAGCTTTGTAAGTAGTCCCTCTTCTTTTGTTGGTTTTTCTATGTAACTAACACTTTTGGAGGTGGCAAGCTTAGCCCTTAGTGCTAAGGAATACAATCTTACTAGTTTAAAAAAAATAAAAAATGTAAGGATTATGTTTTAATCGTATTTAAATGTTTATTTAATCCATTTCTTTCTAGGAGTCTTTTAGTCCTGCCATATAAATATAAATGCCAGTAGAAAATAGAGAACTTCAAATAGTCTTTTATTTTATTTTTTGTCTTGTAGAAAATTGCAGTGAAATGATCTTAAAAGGAGTATCATGAACAATAAGATTTCATATATCCGATCCCAACATGTTTGGGATATCAAGACAGAGTTATTATTATTTTAATAAGAATATTCTTAATGGTAATTATCCTCTAAGAGACGGTCTTTCTACCACACGAAAGTAGGGGTAAGGTTTGCATACACCTTACCCTTCCCAGGCCTCACTTGTGGGATTACACTGGGTATTGTATAGTTGTTGCTGTTGTTATTCTGAATGATACTTTTGGTTTCTGCCAAAATAATAAGAACGTTCTACAAAATATGATTAATGATTCGATTAATTATCTCTTATTTACATACAAGTAACCAAAAAAATAGGTCCTAAATCAGCTATAGGTCGGTGGCTAGCAAAACAGAAGAAAATTATTTTCTAAAGAAAATAAGTAATGTTAACAGAAGAGTAGTATAATCAATCCCAACAAATTTGGAACTGGGGTGCAATTGACTAACAGAAAAAATCTCTACTTTTGTAGCTTGACTAAGATATTCTGACTGAGCTATGTAATCAACATTTTGCAAAGAAACAAAGAAACCTTCAATTTCCTCAATCAAACAAAGAAATGCGAAAATTCAAACAAATTCAACACACATGAGAATTGAGAAACCAAATGAAATCTCTAACCCTAAGGGAAGTTTTAAGAGCTTACTGATTAACAACAAAATGAGAGTGAATAATACAACTCCAACAGCAGTATACAGTTGAACAGGAGGTATATGATTGATGAATTCTTCAGCTTCATTTAACCATTGCTGCATTTGAATCTTCAATTGCTCCACTTTCTCCTTATCCATTTTTCCCCCAAAATTCTTCACTCAGTTTAAGCCTTACCCTATGAATAGACCTAATTTCAATTAGATTACAACAGAAGATACAGAGAAAGTCAAACTTCAAGGGAATCGAAACTCGTCGGAACCTTACCGAAACGGCGAAACCTCACAGGAGATCTAGAGGGCCACCGATGACTGAAGAGAGTTACACGTGTATCCAAACGGGTTTATTAAAATGGAAATTGGGCTTTAAAGTCTAAGTTTTGGGCCTTTACTTACTAACCGAACATATCTTTTAATAAATAATTTTAGCGATACATTTTATTTATTACCATTTATAGTAATATTATGTTAAATTTGTAATATGTATTAAAAATAAATTATGTATGTAATAAATATGTATTAAACTGTTTTTAAAAATATATTATGCTTGTTTGGTAAGAAATTGACACATTGTATTATAAGTGTATTAAATTAAAATGTGTCGTAAATGTATTAATCATCAATAAAACTTGTATTATATGTGAATAATAAATTATTCTTTATAATATGTATTAAAAGTGATGGTAAATATTTTCTTAATATAGTATATTTATGTAAGTTTCCCAGTCAAAAATATAGTGCATCGCCCAACAAGAAATGTATTACTCATTGATACGTTGATCTTATCGTTATCTTTAAAGTGGTTATTTCTTATTGAAGCACGATTGCAAGTAGTACGAAGAGTAAATAAGGGGTTGGTCATTGTCTCAAACTTCTCTATGACTTCTTATTTAGGTTCATGTTCTTAATAAATTGAAGTTGAGTTAAGTCTTGTCTTATCACCCCCGTGTCCTACGTCTGCATTTTTTTTGTGCATACACCTTCATTACCTAATTCCTAGTACAACCAACCTCTCACATCTCCCAAATGGAGTGTTCACATACCTCTTTTGCATACGTTTAAACTAGGGGTGTACATTACCGGATCGGTTTGGATTTTTTAAAAATCAAACCAACCCATTTGTATCAAGTTAAAAAATATACAAACCAAACCAAACCAATAATAGTCAGATTTTTTCAATCTCAAATTTTTTCGAGTTATTCAATTTTCTCGAGTTTTTTTTATAAAGATTAAAGAGCATGTGTTCTTTTAGTGATTTAAAGAAAACGGTGAACACTCACATGATTTTTCATCCCAAAAAAAAGCAATTAGTAGTTTATTTTGCATTGCAAGCCTATAAGTTCAATAGGCAATTCTCCATTATATCTAAAATACAACTTCTCAAAATTACTATTACTGTTTTGAACAAATCATAAAATAGTATCAGTAATCAAGAGTGATTCATTATACAACTATCTAGTAGACTAGTACATTAGAGAAACTCACGAAAGTAACATAGAGGCATAAATAATTTGCATAGTCAAATTATTGTCGTCAAAGTTAGTAGGGTTGTTTACATTCACATCGTTAAATTCTACAACATCATTGCTTACAAAAACCAAAAAATCATATTTTTGAAAAACTATAGCATGCATCTGCAAAGTAGACAATATAAATTAATAAGTTGATTAGTAATGCATTAACTAAGTTGACGTTTAGTCCTTAGTTCTATTACTATTTAGAGCAAACAGTAATTTGATATTTAACAATCACAAAAGAATGAATTAATACATTTGTTCCATGTTGTTAAGTTTAAGTACATCAACTGGCTAATCAATCCTCAAAGATGAGTCGGATATTCTGAAAGAATTGAAAGAACTTGAATACTAAATAAAATTCAAAAGCAGAATAGTTTTTAATAACAATTTGAATATATACAGTTACCTTCTTCAATTTTCTCAATTTTCTAGACTTCCTCTAAAATATCTTCAAGCTTGCACTCTTTAAAAGGCGATCGTAGCAAATGTTGAGTGCAGATAAGCGCTTTTACCGTATTTGAAGATAAAAGAACTTCGATAACTATCAAGAATTCGATCACCTGTACTAAAAGTGACTCAGATGCAACAATAGAAATAAGAATAGAAAGGATATCCCTAGCAACTTTGGCAACAACTGAATATCTGTTGTACGAAACTTTCCACCAACTCAAAATATTAAAATCGTTGATCTTTACTATATTATCTTTCAAGTATATGTCCAAATTAGATTTTTTTACGACAAATCCCTCTTTTTTTCATGTGCTTCTCCCACTGAGATTGCAACAAAGCACTAGATTCACCCATCACACAATTATCATTTTCAATATTTTTGTTAGGATCTTCGAATCAAGAACAATTGTAGTGATTATATAAGAGTTTCAAAACATCTCTCACATCTTCAGACATTATTCTTCCCATCAAAGAGCCTATGAAATAGAAAGAATATACTATGCATATTGCATCTTGTATCTAGGATCCAGCACAACAACAACTATTAGTAACATATTCATACTCTCAAACTTACCCCAATATTTATCCATCTTGGATTTCATTTTTGTTGTCATATCAACCAAAATGAGATCATCATGTTTAGGATACTTGATAATGTCATTTTGGAGATTGAAAAAATCATGAAAGAAAGAGTGGGAAGTAAAATTTAAACTGCCCGAAAATTTTGAAGTTGCCTGATAGAAAATATTAAGAAACTTCACAAAAGCTTTCACATTCTTCCAATCATCTATTTATGAATTTTTTGGTGGTGTACTTATTTCTCGACATTGATTTTGATAAATTCGATCATCCACACACATTCTTGTAAAAGTGTTTTCAAATTTCAAAGCTTTATCCAACATTGTGTATGTCGAGTTCCATCTAGTCTCAGCATCCAGATATACAAGACCACAAGTGTCCATCTTAACTTTCTCAACAAAGAACTTAAAAGTAGCTGATCTTGAAGAAGAAGGCCTAACATTTTTTATAGCACTTCTTATATGAGAAATAAGATCAATTTGTTCATCCAACCCTTTTTTTATGAGCATTACATCTAACATGTAAATACTTATTTTCAAACGTTACCCCTTTCCAATCTTCAATATGCTCCTTTAAACTCTTAATGGCATCGTCATTTGCAGTTGCATTTCCAAGGGCACTTTAAACAAGTTCTCAATGCCCCAACCTAATAAGCACTCCTCAATCCCCTTGGCAATGGTCTCACCTTTGTGATCTGGTGTTTGAAAAAAATTAAGAATTCTCTTTTGTAGATTCTATTGATGATCAATCCAATGTGCAGTGATAACCATATAAGTATAATTTTGGATTGACGTCCTTGTATCACTGGTAAGACAAATACGTTGGTTTTTTATAAGCTCCTTAAGATTTTCTTTCTCCTCTTGATATTTTATTTGACAATGTCGAGCAATAGTTACACAAGAAGGTACTTCAAAATCGGGAAAGGCTTTAGCCATTAATTTTTTTAATCCTTCTCCCTCAATAGTTGTAAACAACTATTCATCAATAATTACAAATTTAACAATTGCTCTCTTAATTTCATCCATATTAAACACCCTTTTTTCAGTTGAAACACCTTCTAGCCAACCTCTTTTGATAGGTTTTAATGTTGTTTGTCTCTTGTCGGACTTAAATGGATACTTGTGACATTTCACAGTCAAATGATTCCATAATGTATTCATCTCGTTGACACTATCAGCAGCAAATGTTTTAGTACAATAATTACATTTTGCCCTACATTTACCTCCTCTAGCAATAAACTTAGAGAAATGATCCCAAATTTGAGATGTTTCTCTACCTGTAATTCCAGATTTACAAACGATCAGAGGAGCTGCTCTTTTTTGCTTCTTAGGAGGTGTGCATTGACGTGGAGTTACTTTACCTTCGTGTTGAGATATTGTCAACATAATTGAAGGAATATTAATTATCTTCTCTACATCCGTTACAGAAGGTGTAGTTTCCATCCAAAAAGGAAGTTGTTGCACATACATAACAATAGTTATTAGTAATCTGATACAAGATTGTGTTTCAACAAGACTTCCATTCAAGCATTGTGAACAAGTCTTAGAAGTATATTTCACTTTAAAACCAAAAATAGATCCATATATAGTACAAAATATTTGGTTAGAAAAGTTTGGTATATATTACTGGCTACTGCTATTAAAATCTAATAGTCTCTTATATTTTTATTTTTATCACTTGTTTTTCAGTATCTCTGCGGAGCGTTACGATGTTTACTGTACAAAAACCTCTAACAAATGGAATCCAAAGCAATGAGTTGAACACTTACCCATTTTTCATTGCATTGAAACAACATAAGTAAAGATATCACTAAGTAAAATTTATTATATACAAAAACATTATCATCATGCTAAGCTTTACACACCATAGACATGGACACCAAGATGTATAATTTTAAGGTCTATATCTATTATTCAACAACCCAAAATTGAGATGTTGTTGACAATAACAATACAAGAAAAATATCTAAAAACAAGATAATAGAAATTACTTACCAGATTAAGATGAGTTGATGATGATTTGAGCTAAAATAGAAAAGACGGGCTTAATATATACTCTAATTACTAAGGAGTAAAACCTAACTATGACTAAGCTTTGAAGGTGAAGAGCTGCTATTGAGCTGCTGACCTAATGACCTTTGTTAAATGAGATATAAAATATTATATAGGCTACTTGATTATTCCTTTGCCATTATATAATGTATTTGGGCTTTTTGTTTATTCCTTAAAATAAGAAGTGGGCTCAAGTCAACTATGTAGCCCAAGCCCCAAAGTCCACTAATATTAAACATAAAATTGGCACAAAGATAAAGAAAAATATATAAATTATAAATGAATAAACATTTTTTTTGTATAAAATAAAACTAAAAATAAATAAATATATAATGTCGGGTTGGTTTGGTTTCGGGTTGTTTTTTTAGTTAAAACCAAACCAAACCAAACCAATCATAGTCAGGTTTTTTTTCAATACCAAACCAAGTCAAACCAAACCACTAGTCGATTTTTTTTCGATTTGACACGATTTGTGGTTTGATTTTTTATTCGATTTTGTGCACCCTAGTTTAAACCATCTTAATCAGCTTGTCTCGTATTGTCCGTCATGAGTAGGGCTTAGAGTTCGATCGATTTGATTTTTGCTATTTTTGGTTTAGCAATAATGTGAAACCAAACTTAAATAAATTTATTTCGGTTTGGTTTTCGATTTGACAAAAATTAATTAACAGTGGCCTGCGGGTTGTGGCATACGCCTGTGGTGTTGTTCAAATAATACAACAATCAACATTAACTTCTATAACAATAAACACTCAACAATACTCTCGAGACTCTAAAAATCTATGCCATACAGTTTCGCTTTTGCCTTCATATTTCAACAAACATTTAACTTGCAACTTATCATTTCATCGACTAAAATATCCAAACAAAAGGGATAATTCTTGTCTAGCAGGACAGTAGGTAGCATTCATTGTTGCAACCTCCCGTGTGTCATCTATAAAAAAAATGAAACAAACAAGAAGAACAACAATCAGCCACACATTATTGATTACAAATTAACAGTAACACCTACCAGCAAATCAGAAGCATTTATTGATCGTTGATACATTTCTTATCATAGGCTTTGAAATCATACATCAATTGTAAATACATTAGATTGAATCGGTCCAATTGTTGTTTTAGGATAATATTGATTAGGTATAGTGCATATGTTGTATTATATTTAATTAGATTTTTTTAAAACAAATAATTAGTAGAAATGTCTATTAGAATTATTTGTAATAAAGATGTGGCAACAAAAAACGAAATCGATATGGAGAAAGCAACACGAGAGAGCATCTATGCGGGAAAAAGATTGACGAGGAAGTATCCTTTAAGGAGATGTTCTATCACTCCATATTCAAAAACAGTGAATCCACAAACAACATCAAGGACAAACCAAGAGGAAGATATGTTAATTGATGAGCCAATGGGGAATGTGAAAATAAACACAAAAAGCACAATCCCCACAAACGAAGGAATGGAGGCGACGAGCACTGAGCTTTGAGGCACAAGGCGCGCGCACGAGCAGTTGCGGGTTGTGAGACTCAGCAGTCAGCGAGGACTGAGCAACGACTGACCTAAGACGACAAGTTGACAGATGAACTGTGCCATATCGAGAATTGAGAGATGAAGTGTAAATTACATAAATCTTATAATTTTGATGTGAAATTACAATATATTCCTAATAAGTTTTTAATTACATTAATCCCTTAGAAATTAAAAGCAGATACAATAATCAAAGCTCAGACACATTAATATGCAGTTCAGTTACATTAAATATTATTTTGAATACATTAGTATGTAGCTCAGATACATTAAAAACTAGCTCTCGCTCGATTACATTATTATGCAGCTCGAATACATTAAATACTGACTCAGATACATTAATATACATCTCGAATACATTAAAAAATAATAAATTTTAGAGATTTTAAAAGTAACAGGGGATAATGGAAATAATTGAACCAAAAAGTGTATATTTCTATAAGGGTTGTGGGCTATTCATGTTACAAACAAAATTTTAAATGAATACTAAATATCAAAAGATCAAATGATATGTTGGTGTATTTTACATATGTTTTTTTAATTCAAATAATTCAAAATATTATTAATAACATTTTTAAATTCGTGTAAAACTATAATAGAAAATGAATTAAAATAGAGTGAGTATAAAACAATTTAATAATCATTAATAAGTTACAATAATCAATTGACATTAAAATCAATGATTTTATCATAGTTGTTACCTTTTTATTATAATTGTTAGATTTTAAGTTTCACAAAATAAAAATGATCATATAAATAAACATAAATTTACCAAACAAAGAAGAAAAATTAATATTAACTAATAAAAACATTTTGATTTGACATAATTAATTAAAATAATTGTAATTGTCTATTTTAAAATTATTTATTTTCCTTTAATTTAAGATAACTATTGATAAAATAAAATATTATCAACACAATTTTGTTGAAGGAAGCTGATGGAACAGATCAAAGAAACAGGTTCGATGAAGTTGTCTCACGAGTTAGAGTTTGAGTTACACTAGGACTAGACTACTCAATCCTAATTGATATACAAGTCTATACTTTGTACGACTTAAACTGATGTAGTTGACTAAGATAAAGTGTACATAATATATTCGTGTTGTATTAGGATTACTAGTGTAGCTAGTATAGGATTCTCTCCTATATAAAGAGTATGTAACTCAATTATTCAATCATCAATACAATCCTTGACTCTTAACATATATGTGAGAATTCTACATGGTATCAGAGAAATAAAGCTTTTCCGCACTTTAACGTATTAGATCTAACAAAAAACAACCAAATTATTAAACCACAAAGGCCCCTTCTACTAACACTCTTTCGACCTCTTCACTTTATCACCTTATTTCATCCTACTCCATTAAACTTAAGCCGACGAACTATATTTTATGTAGGACACAAATGACTCAGTTGATTCAAGTGATAAGAATAACCTATCTCATCATAGAACCACGTAAAGGGACCTGTTCCACTGGATAGAACACTGAGAAAACTGTGCAGAAGACTGCAACATTGTTGATGACTGAGAGGAGAAGGATGTGTTACTAAGGAGTTGGATATCAGACACCTTGACAGAAGAAAGCATATACCTGATCGTTGGCTGCTCAACTGCCAAGAAGATATGGGAATGCTTGGAAGAAGAATATCTTCAAGCAACAAAAGATAAGGAGTTCCAGCTCAAGCAACAATTACAAAGCGTGAAGCTAGGAACCAAACCAATTAATGATTACATTAAGGAATTCAAGGCATATGTGATGGCCTTGCAGCCATTCACAAGCCTGTAGATTAGGATAGCAAAATGATTAATTTTGCTAAAGGTTTAGGTCTTAAGTAAAAGACCTTCAGAAATGTCATGTTAGTTAAGGCATCGTATTCTACTTCTAATCAATTTATTAATGCTCTTAGAGGTTTTGATATGAGGGAGGATAAAGAAGAAGTGCCCCAACAAATCATAACATGGCATTCTCTGCACAAAGAAGCAGGCGAAGAGGAAATTACTCTCAAAGAAGAGGAAATAATAACTTTAATTCCCGAGGAAGAGGATTAAGCATGCTGGACAAGGAACAAGTTCTTATAATAGCAGAAGCGGACCTGGTCCTCAGAACAGTCCTTCAAGTGGAAGTCATGAGAGGAATAATTCTGATGTGTGCCAAATTTGTCGTAGGAATAACCATACTGCTTTTAAATGTTTTTACAGGTGAGATTACTCTTACCAAGCCGCAGATGAGCTACCACAAGCATTGGCTGCTACTAATCTTCAAAACACTATTGACACCCTGTATGTAGACTCAGGAGCAAGTAGTCATATGACATATAACTCAGGTATCCTAACTGATCTTAAACACTATAATAGACCAGATAAAATTATTATTGGGAATGTATCAAAGTTAGACATAAGAAACGTTGGGAATACATCCAGATCAGGGCTAAAATTAAAGGAAGTTCTTATAGTCCCTAAGCTTAATAAGAATTTACTCTCAGTTAGTAAGCTTGCAAAGGATAATTGTTGCACTCTTGTATTTGATGAAACTAACTTTATTGTAATGGACGAGAAGACAAGGACAGTGCTGGCCAAGGGAACTAAAAGGAATGGACTCTATGCTTTGGAAGATAACAATCACAATGCTTTAACTACTGCACACGTATGGAACACGTTAGACAACATATGACATACTAGATGAGGGCATCCTAGTTTGAAGTTTTTAAAGTTTTTGAATAGTAATAGTTGCATCAATGTCAGTAGTTGGAATAAAATGCCTACTGTTTGTTCTAGTTGTTAGTTGGGAAAGAGTTGTAAACTTTTTTTTGGTTTGAAAAATAAAATTGAGAAAAAACCTTTATTGAAAATCCATTGTGACTTATGGGGACCTGCCTCTGTCGAATCTTTCTAACATATGAAATATTATGTCATTTTTGTTGATGATCACACAAGATATACATGGATTTATCTACTGAAAAAGAAGTCTGAATTCTTTGAGACCATTCTAAAATTTCAGAAAATGGTGGAAAACAATTTTCTAAAGAGATTTTCAGTGTGATGGAGGTGGTGAGTTTATCCAAATACACTTCATTAAGCATTTGGAAGATCATGTCATTGTGAGATATATATTATGTCCTAACACACCTGAAAAAAATGGAGTTGCAGAGAGAAAACATAGGCATATTCTGGAGACTGGCTTAACACTACTACTTCATGCTAATCTACCTTTGTTTTTATGGGTTGAAGTTTTCCTCATTGCAGTATTTCTCATCAATAGTTTGCCCGCATCAGTCCTAAAATTGGTGACTCCATTTTAAAGTTGTATGGGGAACAACCTAATTACAATAGTTTAAAAGTATTCGGGTGTAGATGTTTTCCATATATCAAGGGTAACATAAGTTCAATCGAAAGACCTATCATTGTGTATTCATTAGGTACAACGACTTACACAAAGGATATAGATGTTATCAAGGGTTTACATATCCAGACATGTTGTGTTTGATGAAAACACATTACCCTATGTGTCTCCAAAGCAATCTCAGACTAACATTAATGTCTCATTTTACCTTGATACTTTTGTTAAATCTT